ACCATTATCAAGTGCAATTAACAATATTGTGCGGCCATTCGACAGCAACCCCCTAAAGCTCAGCACGTGTACATTTCGGATGTCATAACCGGCTGTGGCCTATACGCGGTAGGTATACACACACACATATAGGATTATATGACCGTGTAATTTACATCGGTAATGGTAATATTATTAATTTTAAATCGTTAAACTCTATAGCTTTTTTTTATTTACAATCGTTTATTTTTGTTATCGCCATAATAATACACAGTCTGTCCAACAACAATAAGGTAACGAACGAACAGTTCCCACTTCTCACGCACCAATTATATACATTTTAAATATTTTAATAACATACATTTTCAATACTATATTACTGTTATAACCATAATTATTCAATCGGTTACTTCATAAATATGAGAAAGTGAAAAATTATACATTAAGAGCCCTGAGCAAAATCATGTGCATAAATATATGTATATGACCTACATATTAACAAATCGTGTTTTGTTTATGAAATTGGGAAAAAATTTGGAAAATGCAAAAACAAAGTTATCAGTTTTGGTAATTAAACAAATTATTATATTCGAATTCCACCAGACTACCATCGATAACTTTATTATTGTACTAAACAAGTAGATAAAAGGCCATTATGAACAATTCTCAAAAATTATCTTAAAATACATCAGGCACACTTTTCAGTATTTACCTACCTATGTCTCAGAAGATCAAAAATACTCGAAAACATTAGTACCAATTTATTTTTTAATTGGCGGAAATTGTGGTTTTTAACGGTTTTTATTTATTTTGATTTGATTAACTCAAAACAGTTTACTTATATGTAGCATGGCAGGTGACATTTTTAGCACATAATATTATATATACCTACCAACGAAATTTACATACAATTACACAGCTGTAAACTACTCAAAATAGAGTTTTGGTAATAATAAAAAAAAACACATATTTTATTTAAACATTAATATTATATTTTTAACCATCTTGTAGGTACAGTATATATAAGCGAATATATTATAATTTATAGTAATACAATTTCAGAATTATCGGTTCTACTCAAAGTATGATTGGATTTTATAGTTTATGTAAAGCATGTATAATATAATAAACTAAGAAATAAAAACGTGTTGGCATTGAAATGGGCTTGTTTCGTTTACTTAGAAACGGCATTAACCCCTCCCCCGTTCTTCCAAATATAATTTTATTTCGCTTCTGTCGTAGACAATTTTTTTATGTTTTTTTTATACTACATTATAATGTTTTTTCATCTTCTCGTGCGACTTTAGCTGAATGGCTCAATGACCGCCTAGGAAGGCAATTTTGGACATGACCGTCGTTTGAAAATCGAAAACCACTTATTTAAAAATGTTTTAATACTAAAAAACTAATCATAAAAAAATGGTAAAACAATTTCATAGTTTCAAAATGTTGTGGTAATATATTTTTTAATTAGGCATACCTATTGATACAATTTTTTATTAATATTTCATAAAAAGTATATTATTTTAAAAAACCACTAAGGATTTTTTTTCATATCATAAAAGTTGTGTTAAAGAAGGGATGAAAAACAATTTTATAAAACGGGAAAGGTAAAATAGTGCAGAGGGATAAAAAGGTAGACCGATGAATAGGTGGGTGCAAGTTATAAATAAAGATAAGCAGAGATGTGTAAAGTGAAAATAAGAAAAATATTATACTTATGCTATGGAAAGTATTAAAAAAGGTAAATATTTAGTAATTTTTTAATATTGTAAAATAAAATAAATGAATATGGTTTTCAAAAAGAAAAATTACAAAACGAATTATTATTAATTGTAATTTAATCAAATTTCAAACAACAGTATGTATAGATAATATAAACAAACAATACATATTATCTATATATTATGTACTTGCGTGTATTCTTGTGTTACATTATACCTACTTCGGTTGTTGGCTAGAATAGAGACACAGAGGAGCGTATAGTTGTATTATAAAAAAAAACAAAGAAAATTAGGTATAAATATAATATTATATTAAGCAATTTTCCCAAACGGTAACTAGGTCGAAATTCGATTAGCGCTGCACCCACTCGCTCTTGATGAGATAATAACGGTTTGTACCTACATATATCCTCTTAAATGCAGGTCATACTATATATATATATATATATATAGACTGTGTTACGCAGACGTATAACTGACGTACAAATTGCTCGGCTCGGTTATCTTGAAACAAAAACTGTCGGTCTACCAAATGTCGACCGGAAGTTGTCACAAGTCATACAGGTAAGTATACATTAGGTATACTTGACATAGTGCCATTAACTATATATGCACCTATAAATCTACCTATTAGTCCACTGCATTTCGTAAACGAATACAACGCGGTAATTAGGTACGCAAACTGTGTGTAGTTGAACGCATATTAGTATTTATATATTATGGTACCCATATTATGTGCACGCGTTATTGTCTGTGATCGCCAGTGACACGGTAATCCGGTTTTACCTGGATGTAGTCGATTAAGTATCTGTATTTTACATACTACAGCTATGCGTGAGCGTTATTCCACGTCCAACCGAACGTCCGACTTAATTGTATAAAAATTATATTTTCACATCTAACACGTCAGCTATGGTACAGGTAGGTAGGTTGATCTACATAAAAGTATAATAATTGTAAATTAAATGTAAAGTATATTATTATAGGGTATACACCATTGTACCGCACAAGCTATATGTCCGGAGTTCTATCCGGAGTCTTAAGTTGTTTAAATATTAAATTTACAACAACAACGTTTAGCTGGTTGGCCGTTCGTTCGGTATACAACAGTCGAAACCATCCGAAAAGTTATTTAGTTTTAAACTTGTAATAGGTCATGATCATTTCTCTGTCCACCGATGGCTTTGTGAGTATATTTTAATTCAAGTCGATAGAACGGTTTCCACAGTTTCCGTCAGCTCTATTCACTTTTGTGTTTTTTTATATATAACGTACCGCTACCCGCTTCTTATTTGGTCTATTACTACCCCACTGTTGTCGCTACTCTGTGACTATTATTATCTTATTAACTATATATATTGTCTAAGGTACTACTTTTAAATTCAACTAACTACCTCTTATTACTCCACAGTAGGTATAAAATAAACAATAAAACCACTCGGCTAATATCCCATTGTTTGGATTCCGCTCTACTTTTTTTTATCAATTTCGGAAGAAAATATCAGCGCTTCGGTGCGGAAGACTGAAGAGAGATTAGAAGTAACACTGTTTCTTGTTTTGTATCAACATCTATTGTGCTTGACAAGATTTTGTCTTATTGAGTTTCACTCTTAGTCATCAACATGAAAAAACACATCCTCTAAATTAGCATATATGTTTATCAACTTTATATATAGCGTAATAATATGTGTACATAATCACTCCCTCATCAAGCCATTCAAGCTATCCTACATACTTATTATTATTATTGTAAATGTTATCTTAAATAAATAAAAAAAATTATAATACATTCAGAAAAAACAGTCAAAATAAGTTGACTCATCAACTTTATTACGGTTTACATGTTGTAGTATTTTTAATTCGTATTATTGTGTACTTATGCTCATTATTTATTCATGTTTATTACTTTATCGTTCACTAATGTACTAATTATTTACAAACTTATTCTATATGTTATTTACAATTTTCTTTACTGTTTGCCTTATGGGCATAAGATATCATCAATATGACGAATAAATAAAATATGTGGGACAAAGTAAATTGTATATATTTAATAAAGGAATTAGCGTTTTTAAATTTTAACTGAATATATTTAATTATTAAACGATAGTTTACTACATATTTATATAAATAAAATAAAACCATTGATACAATTTATTTTATATTATTATGAAATTTGTAACCTTTTTAATGAATTATGATAAAATGAATTAAATTTAAGTAGGTAATATTTAGTTTTATGAGATTCTAATAACTTAAATACTGTATGGCGATATTTTGACTGGGCTATATTTTATTTAGTCGGTAATTTACGAACAAATTGTAGCATAACAATAATATTGTTATTTTAAAATTGATTGTTGTTGTGTTGTGTAACCTATAAAAGTATAGCTTGTATGATTTAGTGCGTATACATCCACATAGTTGTAATCCACAATGAACATTTTTTAAATGAAAAAAATTAGGGCTTGCAACTATACAAATAATTGTAACTTTATTCGTACGTGTCAATATTGTCCATTTTGAGTGGGTAAGTATACTATTTTATGCGAAAATATAATAAACGGTATATGATTTTTTGAACGTCGTAAGAAGTCATCAGTAAGAAAGAAACATCAAACCGAAAACGAAAAAACAGCCCAGTGGCCGCGCGATATGCTCGTGTGTTTATAAAAACAATAATATGCGTACATCGTGTGCATATCGTCGCATACGCGCGGACACGACCGACGGCGGCGGCGGTATCGCGCGACTGGGGGGCGGTCGCCCGACGTGCGTGGCCCGTCCCTCTGGCGCGGCGCGGCTTTCTTTCCGCGCCGAAGTTCGTCGAAGGCGCGCGGGGGGGGCAGCACATTTTTCGTCGACGGGTTGGCCGCAAACCGCCGTCCCGGTGGCATTACCGCGCCGCGGTGGAGGGGCGCTTGCCGCGCGCGTGTGTGTCTGCGTAACACCCCGCCGCCGCAGTACGGTCAATCAAAAATCCCCTCCACCCGCCCACCGCCGCCGCCGCCGCCGCCGCAGTCGCCGCCACAGTATACACGCAACCCGTGGGGCGCGCGCGTTTTGCGGCATAAAAACCCGGCCGCACGCAAAGAATACATGCGTGTGTGTGTGTGTGTGTGTACTGGTGGGGGCGCGCACGTCGGGTGATAAAAAAAAAAAAAAAAAAGACTACCGTGTCGGCCGCAGCGGCGGCGGTGGGGGAACAACACGACGAGTACCGGGGTAGCGTCCGCGTGAAGAATATTTCAGTTGTGCCGAGATCGGTGACGCGGTTTGTCGCGTTTTTGGTTCACTTTACGTTACTTTTTTTTTTTCTGTCAATTTCACCCTTCGGACGCCGATACTTCGTACTTCGCAGCCACCGCCGTCCCGCCAAACGCGCACGCCGACACGCATCGTGCCGTATCGCCGCCCGTCGGTTACGTTCGCCGAGTCCACACGTACGACTTCAAACCGCTTCAATTTGAAAAATTTAAAGAAAGCTGTACACGTTTTTGTCTCGTCCCGCGGATAAATCGAATAATATCGTTCGACGACGTTAAAATGGCAAGTATAGATTGGAAATATTTTTTAAAAAAAAGTGACAACCAAAGTTTTTTGAAATAGCATACTTGTTGAATGGATATGACTCGACTATAATAGTAATACTGCTCAATAAGAACTCGACCTACTACTCGGCGAGGGTTAAAGTTTTCGGTTGTCACTTACACGATACCGGTTGCTTTGTAGATTCTACCGAATTTTTGATGCAGCTCGACAATAGGTGATTTTAAATGACAGATAAAAATAAAAAATATAATAGTTAATTAAAAGTCAAAGCAAGCGTCGCGATAAAAAAATATCATTTGTTTTCCGATTTTAAGTGTAAAAGTTTACTTGATAAGATATAGTATACTAACAATAGTAATTTTAATTTTTTTTTGATTTTGTTATATCTTATTAGCCGGGTTTCAGTATTATTTTTTAAATATTTACAAAAAGTTCAAATCGTTTTCTCGTTTTGTTTGCTTGAATTTTCGTTCAAACAGCTTTCATAAATGTTCTTTTAGTTATTGATTTAAAATCCATTGTAAGTCTACGTATATAGCTAACCTAACCGAGGACGAATTGTGCATTTTACGCTGACCAACTTAAAGTTGTAAGCTATATTTATAATTTCGGTTATCGCCAAATATACTTATAATTTGGATTAATATCCTGTCTAAAAACTTGTTGGGATTTATTTTAAAGAGTATCTAACGCTCATTGAATATTTATGAAACAAATAAATTTTTAAAATTTTAAAACTACGACGCGTTAAATATGATATTACCGACATGAAATAGACTCGACCGTGTTTATTTTTATTATATATACTTAATTTAATTATAAAGTACCTAACCTACTTGTTATATATTTTATTGTTCAGAGATGTAAAAAACAAATAAAATATATTATAATATTATCGTTTAGCACGTGACAAATCCGCCCGTCATATGCTTATGTTACAATAAATGCTTTAGGTATATAGAGTACTTATAAATATTATAGTGAATAAAAAGCGCAGCTGTACAGTTGTTACCGGATAACTTGACACGGCGGTGGTAGCGTTTTTTAGTAAGCGTCTCCTAAACTTGATTTTCAAAAGGTCTTTTTTTATCAATAATGAAATCTATACAAAAAAAAATTACCGCAAATTATTTGGTTTTAAATTGATGACAAACTATGAGTTGTAAAATGTTCACTAACGATATTGTAAATAACATAAAATACGGAAAACAAATATGGTTTCGCGCCGTGCCAAGTTATTTAGCAACGACCGTACAGTGTGGAATTCATATAATAGGTGTGTGCGATTATTCAATACAAACAACGAATTAAAATTATACCTTCTAAAGTCAAGCATTTGAATCATTAAATAGATAAATAATATGATGACGCTATTCGCGATTTTCGTTCTCAATTCACAAATCAATCAATAATCATTTACTGATGAATTATTCATTATTCACCCGACCAAATCAACGAATTATCCGAGTTATTCGAAAAATCAATCGTTCGATTAATTTTCCGAATTTCAACACGCTTTTTTCAATTAAATTCATCATTATTTGCGCCCGCCTAATTTTTAATATTTGATTGTTGGACACAGGACATGGACGCGGTTTACCAGAAGTACATCTCGTGCATCCTCGAAGACGTCAGGGCCATCCACGGCAAAGAAATGGTGGCCACCGGCAGCCCGTCGGTGTTCTGTTCGGTTTTGCCCGGCCACTGGCGGTCCAACAAGTCGTTGCCGATACCGTTCAAGGTGGTCGTGTTGGACGAGGTGCCCGACGGCGCCGTTGTGGTCGTCCAGGCTGGAAACGACGAGAACCCGTCGGCCGATATGCGCAACTACCGCGCGCTGTCCGCCACCGGCGTGGCCGTCTTCAACGACCTCCGGTTCGTCGGCCGCAGCGGACGAGGAAAGCTGTTGACCCTGACCATTACGGTGCAGTGCAAAGACCAAGTGGTGTTGGTAGCCAACTACGTGAAGGCCATTAAAATCACCGTGGACGGACCCAGACTGCCGCGATCCAATCACCGGGGTAAGTGTAAAACTCTAGCATTCGTTTTAAAGATTTCGGTGATCAGCGTATACAGCGCGTCCCAAAAATCGGGTGACAATCCCTGGGTTTCAAATACCGACATTTTTGGAACAAGCCTGAACGCCGCGTGTACAGTGTGTAAATGATTTTTGTTGTATTGCGAACCAAAAGACACCCCGTCAATCGACGATGTTGGAAAAAAAACAAATTGTCGTACTTTTCACGTTGGTAATTTTAGATTAAAACCGTACAGTTCGTGTGTGTACAATAGCAGTGCACGGCACCCTCTCTCTTTTGTCATCGCCACCGACGATGGCAGGGGGTTAAAGACCCTCGGCGACACGCGGCCCCGACTCGTTAAAAACATATATTTCTCTTGGCTTTTTATCCGCACTGCCAACACACATCTTTGACGTCGCACGATATACGCACAAATCATCGTTCGCAGTTTAATTACAATATACGCATACATAGTATATGGGCCGCTATAGCTGTTAAAATCAAAATAGTATAATAAATCAATCCGTCGCCATCAATAATAATAACTAACTATAATAAAAGTGATCGTGTGCGCCATGCGGGTTTTAAAATACCGTAATTGATTTTATATAATATATTATAAAGGTATACTTGTCCCACCCGAGTCGTATCGTCGTATCTGCAAGTTTAGGGCACATAAAATATTCTTACCGTCGCCAACCCGTCTTCCAGATCGAAAAACACTGATAAGCCGCGCTCAATGGCCCTCCTTATTTTGAGCGGATATTGCACTCTCCTTATATATACCGTTCCCCGTATAAGAGATATAGGTACGGCAAAGCGAATGCAGTGGTTTTTTTTTTTTAATTTTATGTAAATGTAGTTGTGGCGGTGGAGTGGGTGGTTTACGGGAGCGTTGACGAAGGTACAGAAGGACGTCACGCGGTAACGAGGAGAAACAAAAAAAAAAACAAACTTAAAACGAAAATGACCAAAAGGGTTTAGCGCGTTCATATAGGATTATCGGGTACAGCAGCTGTCGTGACAGTGCATTAATCATCCTCGTCTTTCGCTGAAGAGGATATATGAACCCACATGTAAACGTACCAACTATTATACGTATGTATATATATATATGGACGTTTGCAGAATAAAAAAAAAAGCGCCACGACGAGCCCAATGTAAATAACGAACGACACAGTACCTACAGCGTGTAGTACGCAGACCGGACGTGAAGTTGATTGGCGAACCCTGTGTGATTTTTTTTTCTGCACACTCTCCGGCAGCTTGTCAGCCCTATATAATCTCTTTTTTCTCTCCATCTCGTTCACTCGTATTTTTTGCCCGGCCCGTAGTATTAACGCAATTAACACACGGACGGACATAACCGTACAAGGATATGGTTTTTTTTTTTTGTAGTCCGGTATTTTTTTTTGCCGTTGCCCTTTTACAAATTGATTAAGTAGCCCCGGGAATATATTATACACACTTAATGAATCCGTTCTGACACCGGCCCACAGCCCGTGCGACCGCCGTTTGTTATAAATCGATATTGTTTCACCGACGGATTTTTTTTATTTAAAAAATGTATTTATTGTCCGCGTCATGCGTTCGGCCATGTGCACAACACGGGTTTGCCGTCGATGTCGCCCACTCTGCTACCACCACCACCACCGTCGTGTATTATGTATACAATATGAAAAGCAGTCCCTTTTTAATTATTTTCGTGCTTTTATCCGGAATCGCTCTCATCCGCGAGAGTCGCTTCTCGTGAATAATATATTACTATATCCGGTCGTCTGTCGGTCCGATTTAATCTGCCTGTAACGTTATAATACTATATGCGAGTCCGTGTATACATTGGACGATGGTCGTCTGTCGTCATCATCATCAATACGATATTGTTATGCACGACGGTCCATCGTGTGCGGTTTGAGGTGTATATAATAATGATGCGATATAGGGACGTAATTAATTGGAAATACGAGCAAAAGAGCGACTGCGAATGTTGTCGATGGTTTTTTTTTTTTTTGCCAGCTAAACAACAAAAACGCCAGACAGTGTATATCTCGGATAGCGTGTGATTTTTTTTCATAGTATTAACAAACACGGCAAACTGTTGTATGCGGAAACGACAGGGACCTATCCGCTGTGTATCGTTTAACTGTGTGTGTGTGTGTGTCAGTATACACAATAGAGTTCACTAAAAAACAGCTACACCCTTTCATGTGTGGCAGACTCGCGAGCACACAATAGCCCTCGACGCACAGTCGCGAAGCTATTGTATACACGTTTAACCCGTTGTGAGTTTATGGGGGGGGGAAGGAGGGGAGGGTTATGGCGAATGACGGCAGCCAGCGGTGGTGGTGTCGAACACTATATGCTTCTATACCGCCGAGGGATGGTTGACCGTGTATGAAGCAAGTACTGGCGGGGGGGGGGGAAAGAAGAAGGGTGAGAGAAGAGGAGGGTAGTCGAGGTTTACCCGAGTAGTAAACATTTGGCCATAAAACTGACCCTCTTATGTCCCGCAAAAGGGGTAAAAATTACAATGGATTTAGGGCGCGGGCAGGGGTTTTACGATAAGCTCTCGGGGCTTAACCGGCCGTACCGACCGCTTTGCCTCCCCCCCATCACCAACTGAGCGTGTATGCATCATGCCTTATGCCGCAGCATCGGCCATTAAAATCCGGTCGGCGTGAGCCGTGAGGGAGCAAGAGAGAAAGAGCGACCGAGTGAGAGAGGACAGACTGGCGATGGCATCAGCTATAATAACTTAAAGCGCAATTAAAATCAATACTGCAAACTGCCACTGTATATTAAAAAAAAAACGATCATTAAAAAAAAACATGTTGCCAAAGACAGGGTAAACCCGTACATTTTTTAATCTATATGGGGCGAAGAGGAAATATAAAAATACTGCACCGACTATATTTTCTATGCTTTTGGGCTGTTTCAAACAGTTTTCTAATTTGAGTTTTTTTTTTGTTCCTTTTTTCCAGATGTCATTCACGGTTACGGAGGCATGTTCCCCATGCACGGTCCCCTGCCGCCTTACGGTATGATCATGGAGTACAAGCGGTTGCTGGAGGGCGCCGCGCTACCCGGGTCGCTCAACTACCAGTACATAGCTGCCAATTACTTCCAACTGCACAGTGAGTGGAAATATTTATTTACATGTCTAAAAAATAATATTATAGACTTGGGTGTGTGTGTGTGTACAGAGAAAGAAAATATTGTCGCAAAGGGCGGGCGCGCGTCGTTCAAACGAAAGGCAAATAGAGTTTTCCGTTTGAATAGGCGACATTTTGCGATGCAAAAAAAAAAAACAAAAACAACTTTGTATATTGGAAAATCTAATTCGATTTGAAATAGTCTACGTGTGCCAACCAACCTAATTTTGTTTTCTTCTGTTTTTCCCTATCGCAGACGCCATGGAAGCTTCGCAGATGTATTGCGACTTACCACCGCAATCGGCTTTCACCTTTGCCGGTTACAATCACGGTAGCCTGCCGCCCACGCCTCCACACACGGAAGAAGAATCCGCCACACCGACGTCCCTACAGGAAGACCCGGCCGTCCCGGCTAAAAGGTCGCCCGCCTTTGCCGGCGAGTCGTTGGAGAAAAGGCCCAAACGGGAATCCACGTCCAGTCCGGACATCGACATCGTCAACGTGGCCGTCCGGTCTTCCAGCCCGGACAGTCTAAAACCAAGACAGGAGAAGATCTGGAGGCCTTACGGTGCCACCGACGATTGATCCCCAGTGTAAAAAAAAATTCCCCCCCCCCCGTAAGATTTTGTAAAAAAAAACCCGGCGGTTGTTTGTTTTTCCCTATATAAATATATTTAATGTTTAAACGATAAGGCCGAACCGCGTGCGCCTTAAAAATTATAGACAATCAACCGAGCATTTCTTATTTTTTTTTTAGGTTACATAATAATTCGATAAATTGTGATATTAGTTTTTAGGTATATTTATAATTATTATTATGATATTATATTATGTGTTTGTAATTTTTTTAACATATGTATGTATACGTTATACGCCCGAGACCTTTATTTACAAATTTTACAATTTGTAGTAATTTTGTGTACAGAAATGTCACGTTTGTAAAACCAAAGTATTTTATTAGCCCACCAAAAAAAAAAAAATATATATATATGTATATATATATACATATATTATGTAAAAACAAATAAATGTACACGCGTATACCTATTTAGATATTATGTCGGGCAGATTTGTGATAAATATTTATATGTATATTATTATATAATATGTATAGTCTGTTATATTATAATAATATAGTATTATGTGTGAATTTTGTTGAAAATAAAAATACATAATATGTAAACAATATATATGCGTACAGTCGTTTTGATTTTTTTTTTAACATACGGCCACAGATGCGGTGGTTAGCATCAACTCGCGTGTGTGTATGTATGTGATGAGAGAAAGAGCTGAGGTCTGGTCCACCCCACAAAAAGGGATTTCGGTAAACCCTTAGAGGGTTGTCGGCGGAGTGGTGAGTCATGTACACACACACAATAGTGAAGCTATATTATGGGGACTGCCACCGCTGATTCATGATAAATAAATCTGGAGTATAGTCCCTTATTATTATTATTATTCAGCCAGTGTGTATGTGTGTGTTGCAGAAACGAACCGAAGGGGTCGACGCGACGTGTGTGCCACTTCGTTTACTAATTTTTTTTTTATGACAATCTTTGCGGGAGCTATACGAAGTCGTGGGATTTTTATATATATATATTATATATTTATATATTATAGAATATAGATGGTTACATATCCGCTAGACTCTAGAGCTTGGTTATTATAATATAATATAGTAAAAGAGAAATGGCATACATAGTGTATACCGTCGATGCTTTGATGATAGCCAGGATAACGATGCGGACCCCAAAGTGATTAATGGCCGCCGTCCGATAGGCCTCAGTTCCGATACTCGCCGAAAGCGAAAGCACCATATAAAGTCCGGATGTCCGCAAGGGAGACCAATATACAAAAGTATTATACACAATATATGTATCTCGCTATGTAGGGCGAACACACGCTGGGCCGGATATACGAATTTGTTTTGTCCGTATAATAATATATTATATAACGTCGACCGACAGAAGACTTGCACTGTGTTTCTGTGGCTTGGGTCAAGAAGGACCAATACGATCACTTTGTGTAACTGTTGGCAAATGAGCTTAAAAGTTTTTTTTTTCTACGAAGTTTTTATTTCGGCCAAAAAGCGACATTGACCAAAGCCGCAGATTTTATACGTATCTTGCAAGCGTAAAACGGCTTAATGTACATAATATACTATGTGAGTTTGTGTTTAAAACCCGCCTAAATTCTTCTCACGGGATTAAACAAATACCAAGACTATTACATAATGAGTATCTTTACTGTATCAAGCTCGGTTGTACATACCTAGGAATAAGCAAACTGATTCCGTTGACTAAATGTAAAACACAATGTCATGAACACTCAGCAGGATTTCATAAGTGTCTATATGGTGTATCTGAACTATCTAAACTAAATTTATTATACAGTATTCAGTTTTTTTAACTTCCGCTATACAATGTATTACTGGGAAATTAAGCATAACTACAGTCCTATATCACACTAACGCCGAAAGATACAAATAGGTATATCATTTATTAGGCCAAAATACGAATTGGGTTTATAACTATAGATTGGGACAATGCAAATAATTGAAAAATAGGTTTAATACTTAAAGAACTAAAACAAGAAAGAAACGTGGGTAATAAGAAAAGCGATATATATAGTTTAAAATGTACTAATTGTATTATTCTAAGCTGAACATTAATAAATTAATAAGTCAAAAACTACTTTGTAGTAACTAAAAAATAAATGTTTGATTTGATTATCTTATATGATAATTACTTGCGAGGAAATAGCTATTACCTGCTATAAAATATTATTGTTAGTAAGAAAATTACAAATCTTAAATTACAAATGTGTAATTTTTATAGGAGACAGTTTGGAATAAACTTTAACTATTATCTTACTGTAAGATAATAGTTCTTACTTAAGTAAGTAATATTGACTTCGACTAGATTTGCTTTTATTTCTATATACTGAAAACTCTATTACACAACTTCTAGAAATCAGTATCAGGGTTTTTAACCTGTTAGACTATTTCGGTTCTGGTTTCGTATTGGCTTTAAAAAATGTCGAAAATAATGTTTGGGATGAAGTTAGTGCACTATTATGTTAATAAATTAAACTTTTATTCATTAAAAAAATGTATATATAATCTATTATTAAAAACCGATTTTATATAATACAAAGGGTTGTTTCGGTATCAATACCTGTTTTTATAGGCGATTTTTAATTCGGTCCCAACCCCGCTAAATAGGCGAACGCCAGTAAATCGTGATGTACCCAATCCGGACGGATTAAAACGCTATTATTTTTCAGTATTACCGCCGGTCATGTTTACTTTGGTTATTTTACCGAAAAATAAATAAAAACAAATAGTACCGAATTGTAAAATATGAAAACGCAAAAACCAATCGATACAACCTTATGATGGCGAATCTTCACCGCCGCGTCACAGCCAATATAATATCACATAGTTGTTGGTTTTTTCGTCCCATCCGTCCTATACAGTAATAAAAATAATAATTCCTATTCTCCCCTATTGGGTTTTTTTATATATATATATATATAAATGCCTCCCGGTTTTCGGTAATAATTGAAACGTCACCCCAACTACCGGGATGACAACAGCCAGCAATGGCCACGAGGACGGTTACACACACACACACACATATACAATGAGTGCTCGGCGAAAGACCGATTCGCTACACTAGTCAAAAAAACAAATAACGCACCCGAGAACAGCTATGCACTAGCCTGTATAAATGCCCGCCGTACGCTGTTGTACCACCCTGTTGTTCACACATATCATACACATCAGAACCTAACGAGGGCATCGTGTCGCCACGTCCGGCAAAGGTCCCCGCTGTCCACGACGAGCCGGCGGTCGACTTAGAATCGTTATAATAACAATATGTGCATTGGTTAAAAATCATCCGGAACGAATGTCAATGTTATTTGCATTGGCTTAGGCGTGTACAATATAATTATTATTAAACTGTGACCAATACACCCGTTATCGTTTTATACATGTGTACCGTCGCCCAGTTACCGTAACGCATTTATTATTAACAGGGCTATAAATGTATTATTATCATATCCAAATAATGCGCTCCAATTCCAATACGAATAAAATATGTATATTATTCAGGTACAATAATTCAATTAAGTGCATGACATGTGAACTAGGTCTGCTATGGGTTTTTTCTACCATTATTCGTGTTTGGTAAAAACTACTGTTGGTTTCTTTTCGTATAATATGTACCTACCCGCGTACAATCGGCCGAAGTTACTATGTACAGTGTTAAGGATGCCTAAATTATATTATACCTATTATTATCAAAAAAATATATTGACAATATTGGCTTTTTAATAAAATTTTAGAAAAATAATTTACAATAATAATAAAAAAAACAATAAACGACAATTGAATTCAATTGCAAATACAATTTTTTCTAGCGGATAGTGGTTTTTAAAATAATATAGTAGTCTGGTCATGAAAAAAGACTGTATTGATGGCGATTACCGACGGGCAACAATATGTGTTTTTTTTTAATTATAGAGTAAAACGTTAAATTTAAAAAAGTTGGATATTTACTGGGAGTAAAAAAAAAAAAAACAGAAAACCGACCGACGATTTTACCTAGTATCCGCGGGCGCGTTTTGCATTTGCCGGGAAAAAATTTCAAGCCCATCGATTACCAAAAGTAATAGGCCGCCTATTTTTTATTTCATACAAAACGGGCCCCAGCGGACGGACGGACGCGACCATTAACGTGGCGTCAAACGGGTGCCAGCAAAGGGGAAACGCGTGTACACCGCAATATTTTATATTCGTACCGTACTCGTGTTTTGACATAATATAATATAATATCCGAGCACAAAAATCACCGTTTAATTTTTTGTTTTTTTTTTTTGTTTATCTCCGCCCCTCCCGCCGCACCTAGGGAAAAAATCCCATTAATTATATTTTTGTTTTCGGTAAATGACCAGCGTTGTCGCCGTGGACGACGGATGTGTATACTCAATAGGTAATGCGTTGCAAATGTCGTTTTTGACAAATCACCGCCGACCCCGTTGACGCCAGTGCAAGGCGTAATCTGATGCAACCTCACACACGCGCCGTAGCCTCGCACATGGGAAATCCGGCCGGAATTTTTGATTTTTTTACCCAAAATATGGAAAACGAATGTTATGTTATTACTCAAAGCGTTGTTTTTTAACCGTGTCCACGATCCCAAACAATCGCGTCGCTGCCATCGCTGCGGCTGTGTTGCATAATGTTGTTAATATTTTACCTAAAATAATATTGTTATAATATAATATTATTATTTTTTTAGATGCCAAAATGCGATCGAGACTCGAGCAATGGACCACCACCGAGCGACACGACGTCGCCTGTGTACCGTTTTTTTTTTGTCAATCGTTTAAACGCATTATAATAATATTACAATGTTATGGTGTTTACGGCCTTGTAACTCGCTATCCGCCCCATTGATAACGGCGCACGTTGAAATTTATTCTGTCCTCACGTTTTGTGTGTACCAAACTCCGTAATGTTGTTTTACATGAGATACCGATAAAGCGGGTACCTGACTATTTTGTTTTGTGCGTATCTATCGATAATATGTATTGTTATGATTTTGAATTACACGACACTAAAATATTTCCATGTTGTAACTCGTAATTTATTCGACTATCCGAATCATTCAAAAAATACTTGTCTCGTATTTATTATAATCGGAGATGGGCAAAAAGTATCATCTGATACAAGTTGAATAATAATAAGTTCAGGCATAAGTCTGAATTACATTAAATGATCGATTATCCAATTTAATAACATAATGTATTATATTCTCGTTGTAAAATGTAACTTATAAATACATACAGTTGTACCAAGATATTGTAAACCGATAGATGATGACACAAATGTTAGGTGTATGATTTATGAATGTATCACGATTTTGTATCTTGTATCAACGCACATATCTGTTAATAATGACATAATATACATACATGGATATCGCAAGG